CCCCACCCCCAAAAATAAAATAAAATAAAATAAAATAAAATAAAATAAAATAAAATAAAAAAAATGATTTAAGTAAAACGCAGGTAACTAAACTTTTTGTCCCCAAATCTAGTATTCACATAATTCCTAGAAATAAGAATTTAATGCCTGATGCGAATTGATGTCTCTTAAAACATATATGCTATGGTACACGTGTGTCGTAGTTGATCTAGGATCCCGGTGTAGAGAAAAAAGACGAGTGAATCAGCCCAAACATATGAGTATATACCCCGGTTTGTGCATTTAAATAAACATCACACCTGATATTACCGGCAGAAGTGTTAGTGGGCTGAGCAAGGAGCACTGGACGACTGAAATACGGGGATATTTTAGTGGGTGAAGACGCGGGTCTATCGGGGATAGAAAGAGGTACGCCATGGCGGTGTTAGGACGATTGACGTACCTGGCGGTCATTGCTGTATTACTGGACATTGTATGTGGTCAGACTGTCACTAGGACATCAGCTGGACAAAGGTAGATAAAATTTAAAAAAAAAGAAAAGATCTTGAAAGTTACTTGATATGATTTTGGCACGTGTTTGTTCGCGAAAATACCTTCCTTGCGAAATCCAAAATGCTCCTATTTTGGAAGCAAATTTTATTTACTTTTAATCAAAGAAGATAGAGAAAGTTAGCCAAATTGTAAGCACTTGTTGAGTCACGAGTGATTTTTTTTTTTTTTTTTTTTTTTTTTTTGAAAAAAATATCAAAGGCATCCAAATTTGCTACTTAATTTTTTATTATCGGTAAAACACAAGGCGCGTATTTTGTCTTTTCGTCTGCCATTTCATATGGTTGTTCGAATCGATTAAAACTTTATCATAATGAACATATTTCATAAGAAGACCATTTGTATTTACCTTTTCAGTGACTCAGCATCGGGCGGCGAGCACTTCATGGGTTTCCGTATGTCAAACGAGGCCGCGGGGTCGGCGGGACTTCACAACCCTTTTAACACGAACCAAGCCACGGTGCAGCAGGGGAAAGCGTTCGGAGGCATATTTCGAGGTTCGTGATCCCTGTGTCAATGAAATGTTCAATATTATTGGCATTTACTATTTTTTATTTCAAAATATGTGTAAGCTTAAAAACTAACGCGCTGAAACTTTTGACGTCACGAACGCAGTAAAATACGGGCCTCTGATACTCTATTTCGGCACAGTTTTGCTAATTTAGACACGGAAGACGTTTGTATCATAATTTCTGTGGCACACTTAAAATTTTCATCATGCTTTGCTTAGATTTACATAGACAAAAGCTAGCACAATGGCCTTTTATCGTACTAACACAAGAAAAAGAATCTTCGCCAACAGGTGACGTTTTGATTTTCAAATGACCAAATGCCAGACCTACAGCACTAAGTTCAAATGTTTTACTGATTAAACTCGTTTTGACGTCCACGAAGTTCACACGATCACTAATTCGAGTTTCGTCTTCATTTCCAGGATCGTGCGAGTCTCCAAACATCATCTATGCTCACGAAGACATGCGCTCTCTTGTTCAGTGTTCCAATGGTTACGCCTATAAGATGCCGTGCGCTCCAGGGACGGCCATAGACCCAGCCAGCGTGACAGGATCCGGCCCTATTACGTGTGGCATGATCCTGGAAGGCAGCACCAGTGCCACGTCAAGAGTACTTGTTAACTCTGCTTTACTCAGTGCACCTGTACAACAATTTTCAGCTGCAGTGATACGAGAACGTCCAGGCCTTGTGTTACAGGGAGCCTCAGCGTCCGCTGGTACCGTCCTCTCGACAGCGGATTCTGTTTCTAGAAGCTCCAACCTGGTTACCTCTTCAAGCAGGCGAGTCATTCGTGTAAGGGGCGGTAGTGTCTCTGAGGGCGGGAACAATATTGCTATCACCGGCGGGAAAATTGTCCCCGATACTGATTCTATAATCACAATCAGTGGTTCAGTGAGCGGCGTTCAGCCTGATGGGACAGTGATCGTTAATCAGGGTCAAGGTCAGGGTCAACTGACCATCCGTCGGGTCGGCGGCTCGCTGAGGGTCACACAAGAACGAGGGGGTACATCGACAACCACTGACGGCCGGCAAGTCATAATTAATGGAGGCCGATTGTTCAGTGGAGGACGCGTCATCACGCTTAACAGAACTCTGGTAGAAACGGCAGTGACTGGAGGTCAAGGTCAAAACGAGGAAGAAGTTGTCATTGTCCCGGGGTCTGGAAGCGACGTCCAAATGGTAGAGGGCAGTGTTGCTGTAGACGAGGTGCCTGTGCCTGGAGTTGCTTCCTCATCCCTCAGAGGTGGCGCTGTACTTAATGGAGATTCGGGAACTGTCTCTTCTCGCACTTTCAGCTCTAGCTCCACTTCTGTTTCTAGCTCAAGTTCGAGCAGACGACAGATTGTAATAAGTGGAGGAAGAGTTATCACTGGAAGGCTCATGATCATAAACGGAGGGTTGAGAATCATACGGATCTCTGGTGGCGGCGTTGGGATCAACGTTTCACAAGGACGCTTTATTGTACGAGGTCTTACGTCACCCACTCAGGAATTTCTCCTAGATGGCGCTCGGGTTGTTGGTGGGCGGGTGATCACCAGTGATGGGAGGCTGGTGGAAGTGCCTGGCTGCGGCTCCAGTGGGATAACCATTAACAGAGAAATACAGACGTCTGCAGGGAGACAAATCTATCTCAGTTGCCGCCGAGTGATTAACGGAGGAACCGTGACATCGGGCGGAAGTCGACGAGAAATCACAGTCATTGTAAATGGACAGCGCATTTCTACTACTACTTCTGGTACTTCTGGCGGACGATTGATAATCAATGGCGGTTTCTCTACCAACAGAGAGTTTTTAGTAAACGGCGGTAGAGTGAGTGGGGGACAGATAATAGCCGGTGATGGAAGGCAGGTGGTGGTGGAAGGGTGCGGCAGCGCAGGGGTGATCACGCGCGAGGAGACAACATCCTCTGGCAGACAAATTTACATCCGCTGTCGCCGTGTTGTAACTGGAGAAACAGTCACTGGGGGAACTCGTCTGGTTCTTAACCTTGGATCTCTGACCTCGTCAACTTCCACTGGGTTGACAGAGAGAATAATCAGTGGCGCAAGAATTATCGGTGGACAAGTGCTGACGTCAGATGGCAGGCAGGTGGTTGTGCAAGGCTGCGGAGCGAGCGGTGCGCTGACACGTGAAGTCGTGACGTCATCAGGACGTCAGGTCTTCATCTCGTGTCGCCGCGTGATATCGGGCCAGATTGTGACAGGCAGTACATCTGTGGAACGCAGAACGTCCATCGACATTAACGGAGTCCGAACTGTAGTGACTACCACGAGGACTACACTTCCTAATGGTCAGACTAGAGTCCGTGAAGAGACCACCGTAGGAGGACAGTCATCAACAGTTATTATTACAGTGTATGGGGCAAATGGAGAAGTCGTCGACAGGCGAGTAGAAGGTAGTCCAATTGTTGTAACAACGCCCACTCCACCAGTTCGTAATGTTTCAACGTCCGTCGAACGGAGAACGTCAACGGACATTAATGGCATTGTAACTGTAGTAACTATAACACGAACCGTTGACAGTACCGGTAGATCCTATGTTCGAGATGAAACGGTAGTCGGAGGACAAAGAACTACAGTTATAATAACAATTATTGGAGCAAACGGCCAAGTGATTGACAGGCGAGTAGAAGGTAGTCCCATTGTTGTAACAACGCCCATTCCACCAGTCCGTAATGTTTCAACATCCGTAGAACGAAGGACATCAACGGACATTAATGGCATTGTAACTGTAGTAACTACAACACGAACCGTTGACAGTACCGGTAGATCCTATGTTCGAGAAGAAACGGTAGTTGGAGGGCAAAGGACCACAGTTATAATATCAATTATTGGAGCGAATGGCCAAGTGATTGACAGGCGAGTAGAAGGTAGTACCATCGTTGTAACAACCCCTACTCCGCCAGTTCGTAATGTTTCAACATCCGTAGAACGAAGAACGTCAACTGACATCAATGGCATTGTAACTGTCGTAACTACAACCAGAACTGTTGACAGTACCGGTCGATCCTTCGTTCGAGAGGAAACTGTAGTCGGAGGACAAAGGACTACAGTTATAATATCAATTATTGGAGCGAATGGCCAAGTTATTGACAGGCGAGTAGAAGGTAGTACCATCGTGGTAACAACCCCCACTCCGCCAGTTCGTAATGTTTCAACATCCGTAGAACGAAGAACGTCAACTGACATCAATGGCATTGTAACTGTAGTAACTACAACCAGAACCGTTGACAGTACCGGTAGATCCTTCGTTCGAGAGGAAACTGTAGTCGGAGGACAAAGGACTACAGTTATAATAACAATTATTGGAGCAGATGGCCAAGTGATTGACAGGCGAGTGGAGGGTAGTGCCATAGTCGTAACAACGCCCACTCCACTAGTCCGTAATATTTCAATATCGATAGAGCGTAGGTCGTTGTTCGACATCGATGGAGTGTTAACTGTGGTGACTACAACCAGGACCCTGGACAGCGCAGGGAGAACTTACGTTCAGGAAGAGACCGTTGTAGGAGGCACAACTAGAAGAGTGGTCACCACCCTTCTTGGAGCAAATGGTGAAGTTATCGACAGACGCGTTGAAGGGAGTGGCAGCTCTACCANAGTCCGTAATATTTCAATATCGATAGAGCGTAGGTCGTTGTTCGACATCGATGGAGTGTTAACTGTGGTGACTACAACCAGGACCCTGGACAGCGCAGGGAGAACTTACGTTCAGGAAGAGACCGTTGTAGGAGGCACAACTAGAAGAGTGGTCACCACCCTTCTTGGAGCAAATGGTGAAGTTATCGACAGACGCGTTGAAGGGAGTGGCAGCTCTACCACTGAGGCTGAACTCGTTCGTAATATCTCGAGATCTATAGAGCGAAGGACTTTACTGGATATCAATGGAGTCCTGACGGTGGTTACTACGACCAGAACTCGAGACAGTGCGGGGAAGACATATGTTCGTGAAGTAACATTGGTCGGGGGAAGACAGACCGGGGTTCGTCTCTCGGTAATTGGCGCAAATGGTCAAATTCTCAGTAACAGGACAGAGGGGACAACCGTTTCAATCAGTGGGCAAGGCACTGCGACAACGGGAACAACTTCCAGTAGAGAAATAATCATAACCGGCGGAAGGATATCTGGATCACAAGTGTTCACAAGCAATGGAAGACGGGTTCTGATTCGTGGATGTACTTCAAGTGAGATTTTGCCGCGAGAGGTGGTGACGTCATCAGGGAGAGAAGTCATCATTGGTTGTCGCAATGGTCAAACTCTGACAGCAACAATTGCTGGGCAAACAGGTTCCTCCAGTTTGATAAGCGGGCAGGTCGTTTCAGGGGGAACATTATCCGGGCAGACGATAAGGGAGACACGGACAGTGACTCGGACGGAGAGGATTGAGGGCGGTCGGCGAATTGTATCAACGGTGACAAGAGGTGCCGAAAACCAGGTGCTTGGTCGTATGGAAGAGGAAATCCCTCTGTCCAGCAGCAGTGGCGGACGTTGCCGTGTCATAACGGAATTCGTTCCAACACAGGATCCCAACCTACCACCAGAGATCTCGAGACGAAATGAAATCTGTGACTCGAACACAAGCGGTACCTCTGCAAATGTCGCAAGCTCTACTGATACCTCTAGTACTATCTTGTCTAATATCATCAACTCTCGCACCCTCTCGTCAAATACCGCCAACCCCCAGGTCACAACCAGCCGCAGGGTAGAAGCAGGACCAGATGGGACGCAAAGGGAGATCACAACCACACGAGAAACGTTTCCAGATGGCAGGTATACGATAACGGAAGAATCTACCGTAGGGGATCGTCGGGAAGTGTTGATAACAAGATACACCTCAGACGGAGTGGTCATTGATGTGGTATCGCAGGTTTTCACTGGGAACTCGGCGATCAGCAATATATCGTTTGGCCCTGCGTATCGTGCTGAAAGCCCCGCTCCATCTGCTGGCGGATAATGTGTTGTCTCATTGAACTTTGTTTTTATGCCTTGTCAGTGTACATCGTGACACAGAAGGAAACGTGATATCAGTTGCTGAACAGCGGTCCATAACTTTGCACCAGGTAGCAAAGGAGTCTATGCAAATAAATGAGAGTTGTGGACAGTGAAATCTTACCACTTATCAAATATATTTTAAAACCACAACACATTAACGCCGTAATACCTTTAAAAATGGCCCTCAATCTATGATAATTTGTGTTCATCCTTTTCTTTTTCTCCAGTTTGATTGGACAGAATATAAAAGTGAAAATGAAAGCGATTAAGACTGCAGGGAGTTGCCTATGTGTGATTCTTCGGCTGCTTACTGAACTGTTTGCTCGTGTAGTTAGCAAAGTCGGTGTGCCAGAATGCCTCTATAATACTTGACAGACAAAGTTGTTAAAGAAGCAACTGAAAAATTCAACAGGTTGATGGCATTCTGTTGCTTTTTTGTTTCAGTTTGGAACGCGTGGAATCCTTACTTTTTTTTATACTTTTCCTTAACTCGTATATATCGTATATTTCTTAACATAAAGCTACCCAGGATATATAATATCTAATTAACGTATGACTTAGAAAAGTGTATCTATTCTGATTATTTACCTTTTTGAATTATATCTTGTATATTGGAATCGTCTTTTCCATATTAGCATAGCACACTAACAAGTGACGTGCAAATGAAGTAAAACTTAACCTATCTGTATCTTGCCAAGTAAAGACAGAAGAGAAAAAGAAAAACACTCGAATGTTTGTACCGGGAGACATGTAACGAATATAGGAGTGTACCTCTTAAATCTCAATAAATCATTAACAAATCTGACTCCCGTTTTGTAAGTGTTGATTAAAATTTGACAATGAAACAGGTGGCTTCTTTGAAGCATAAAATACAGTAGTATACGTATCTGCAGTCCTCGAAAGCAGCTGTTGCCTTTTGATCATAAGACCTAGTTTGGTTCGGACCTGGCAGAAATCCCAAAACCACAAATATAACAGTGGTTGTTTGAAAACATATGTCAGAAAATACATCAGCTTTGTTCGAAACCGTTTTCATTTTTTCCTAACAGAATGGGAACAATGAATTTTACATTTATGCCAAATGTACATTTTTTATGATGAAATGCTGGTACCTGTATGTGCCACTACTGCATTTTAATTTCCATTTGTTTATTATATATATTGTCTTTTGTCTTCAAGGATCTTTTTCACTTGTAAAAGTAATGATGGCAGCTGTCGGGCAGACATTCTATGACCTTATCCGTTGCTTTTCAAAATGTCCTATATATTTTTGTATGCTTTAACCTTTCATCGAGTACATCAAAATACCCGTATGTGAGCAGGTGACTTGTCTCTCACTATAATTTCTCAGAAAAAGACTCGAGTGAAGCCTTTCTAGTAGATATTTCAGTCGGAGAGCTCCACTCCTAGTCATCGCGGTTTTGAAAATTAGCACCAACAAGTAAGTTTTATATTCATTTTCAAAGAGATTCCTCGATTATAGTAAAAAACAACATTTCTGTTTTTCATCAATTGTTCTATTACATTTCTATGGCTTATTTCGCTTGTTTAAACTTTGTGTAAAATAAAAGATTTACCACGAGTGTCATGTTAGAATTACATAAACACTTTAGTCCAATCGAAAGTTTATTTTTGATGATCAATCATACAAAAATTTATATCTGATCATTTCGTCGTCGATATCGGTTATCTCAGCAAGGATTTATGTACCATTTTATACGTAGTCTCTGTTTATTTTGAGGGTTTTTTTAAATATGTTTTGAACTGTCATTGATGCGTTTAATTATTAGAAGATAATCTAACGGGGGGGGTTGGGGGGGGTTGTATCTCGTGTGTCAGACCATGGAAGCCTGGCATCCACTTGAGTAAATATACGTTAAATATGCGGGGCTCTCGTTGTCTTGAACCCATTTCCTATCTAGACAAATTCTACTATATCCAGTGGCCAAAGATTTTTATTTCATTGGGGGATTTAGCGGGGGTGGTAAGGGGGGTCCTAATCTTCACCTTTAGCCCTCTAAAATACCAATTTGTTTTGGGGCCCAGTGAACCCCACGGTTGGGGGAGAGGGTCGGCTTCGCATTCGTGGACCTTTAAATAATCCTGGATCGGCCCCTTCTTTTGCATTTTACATGAATTGAAAATACGAAAATGAATAATTTGTGCAAAATCTTCACAACAGTGCGTTTTTTAGTTGCGCTTTAAACTCTGAGGTTCAATTATCAGCTGAAAGTGTGAACAATGTAATAAAAAGTCAAATTTAAAGCGATAGTAGTTCGTATGAGATTAATGTTTCCCAACAAAATGTTGTAAACAACTCGGAGAAATAATATAAATTCCATTTTCCACCAAAACAGCGATTATCGTAATTATTCTGGAATCTGTGCTTGCCATCAAACCACATGGACCTTCGTAGATGGTTATACCCCCGTAATAATCCACTAAGAGATTAATAATAAGAGATTATTACAAAAAGCATTAGAAAAAACATAGACTTTTAATGTGGAATAGATTTATTAATCATTGGTAAGTATGGGAAATCGTCTTTTATCCCAGGAAAATTTATTAAAATTCATTAAAAAACATTAGAAATTATAAACATGTCTCACTGTACTTTTATATATTTAGTTGATATCTAACTTCTATTCAAGTACACCAAACTGCAGAATGAAGTTGAAGTTGGTAATCGTGGTTCTGTGTGTTGTCTCCATGGCGACGAACATGTAAGCACTTGTGCTTATGCTCTCTCTCTCTCTCTCTCTCTCGGGATTTTATTTGCTGGTTTGCATCAAAACCAACTGACATGATTTTCAAACTTTTCCAAATTCAATCACAATGTAGGATGGTTGTATAAGACACAAAATCAAAAGGGTGATTTTGAAAAACGTACATATAAGCATTGCAGTTTTGACATTTTTAATGAAATACGCTTACATATCTTCTTGAACACAGTACATACAGTATTTGCAAATACCTAGCAGATTATTTGAATTAATTTACATTATTCTAGTCACTGTGCTCCCGCAAATGGCGAAAAGCCTCAGTTGACAGCTGCGGAGATTGGGAGGATGGCTTGCCAGTTCGCAGACACTAATAATGACGATATTATCACTGTGTCTGAATGGGCTGCTGTCGTGGCTTCTGCCGACATTGATTGTAAGTTGCAGCATGGCACTTCCGTAACGCAGTATGTCTTATCTGTAACGGTTATAACACCGCAACAAAGCCGAAATTTGTCACTGTATTTTTTCTGAAATAAACTTGATATTATACCAGAAAATTAACATGACACGTTGCATAATAACCAAATTCGTGGTATAATTTAGAATATTTTCACAAATAACCCTTGAATTATGAAGTCACTGACAACAGCCCTTGCCAATATTCATAGCATTGAGATAGTGGGTATTTTTGAATTTTCTACAGTATGAAAAGTATGGCGAAACTATGAACACATTGAACTTTCTCTGAAAGATTAATTGTACGAAGCCATGGAATTAAACAATGCTCAACATTCTTCCATTTTGTAGACAATAAGGAAGTCACAGAAAGTGAAATGCTGAAGTTTAATGTCAAAATGGATCCCACATTTAAACCGCTGTGGTCTAGTGCACTCTTTGAAATAGTTGATTTTAATGGAGACGGGGCACTGACAGAAGATGAAGTGTCTGACTTATTGACACTAGATACCAATGGTAAGTGCTTTTTACCCCCGCCATAACAGCGTTCTTCAAATACCTGAAGTATGAATTAGTCCTCATTTTATGACAAAAATACTCGTCTAAGTCATATTAATAATATGTATGGTTCTTCCTGTTTTATATCATTAAACTTAAATATCAGTGTAGGGACTTGTGCTTGAACTGTCCAACATCCCATAAAATGACTGTTGGTTTCTATTACAGGCAATGGCCAGGTAGACATGGACGAATGTGTCGAGGCGTGTGAAAAGGTCTGTTAGAGCTTTAATTTTAGGGAGATTTCGCAGGCGATGAAGTACGAGTACGAATATAAACAAAAACCTAGTTCGCACTTACTACTTTGTAGGACTGTTTCGCGTACTTAACGAAGTACGGCCATATCCGTATAGGTGGCGCTTCGAAAGCAACGACATTTTTAATCTATGAAATTAAGCATGTTGGAGCTATGTATCTCATATAAAACGTTTGGTTAGTTCATCAATACTAGAAATTGAGTACCTGACAAATAGCAGATACATGTAAATACGAAAGACATGTCACCTTTGGAAAAAATTCAGATGATCTTTACCTAAACTATGAAGAAGCAACCCTGAAGGTTAGCACGTTTGAATGCCCAGTGCTGCCATCTGACGAATAGGTACATCACACTTTTTTAATGAATACTCGGAAACTAAAGCCGTTTGTGACAGCAAACTCAAAAATGAATGTTGTATAATGATGATTCGATCATATACACTGCTACTCGATAAGTATAATCAATTTCAGATGTTGAAAAAGTACGACCCTACGCTGGAGTAAATAGCTACCACAATATTTGCCATAAAATTGGTAAGTTTTGAATGCGTGACTCCTTTATTTTGTGTATCGATAAATAGATAGATATTTGTCGGAATATTTAACGTATGCAGTATTAGACTGAACTCCCAAAAGCCTAATAGCCATGGTTTAAAACAAGAACGATGCGATGTTTTCACGCAAATTCAATAACAGACGATGAGAGTCAATGTAACACTTTTTTTTTTTTTTTTTTTTTTTTTTTTTGCATGTTCAGCCATTGGGTTGGTCTAGTTAATATACTTGTTTTATTGAACATCATTTCTTCCTTTTTCAGTTCGTGTTTTTAAGAAGACTTCATGACAGGAAAATATTATAGTGAATCATCAGTCTGAGAATATTTTGTTCAACTCCACTCGAGCAATTTACTAATTATTAAAAAATTAAATTAGTTTGGTGGTTAAAAGGTCTTCGTTATTATATCCCT